ATAGCTAATAAACCAATCCAAACGCTTTAAATCAACTGATATCAGTGTACAAAACACGCTGGGACCTGAAGAATGATCATTCGATCGTACGATCACGACTGTAAACAGGAGTTATTGAGTTTTTACGAGTTATCACGACTTATAACCCACCCATTAATTTTGGCGCGATTTTATTGGTTACTTTACGTCACGTGGTGCAAAATCACAGGAAAATACGCAATAACCCCCGTCCGCTTTGATATTTGTCCTCCGATTTTTTCCGTGAAAAAGAAACATAGTCAACACAAGAGTTTTAACTTTTCCGTTCTCCTATTTACATGGAAGGAAACCAGAGTGGTTTTCTTTTTTTGCTTGCTTGCGTCAATCATGCGCATTCGCCATCAGATCACCACTGGCTTATTTACTGTGTTTATGCGCAGTTTAATTGCGACGTGAAAATTAATGGGAGGGTTATAAAATAAATAAACCCCGCTCTGGCTTGCTAGTATGTCGGCTGATAATGTCCTTGGCTGAGAGATTGTCCTCAAATTTTCATATTTGCGCTCGAAGCTTCGCTTTTCGATCAAATGTTCATTTTTCGGACAATCGCTCAGCCGCGGATATTATGAGCCGACATACCAACCTTCCGAAGGGGTTTATTTACTAATTATTACGATGGCGTCTGCGCAAATTTTAAACTTCATTGTATGCGATGAACCTGTTCGGCCTAGACAGCAAGCCATTCAATGTGATGGATGTTTTCCCTGGAATCATCAAATCTGCAACTCCGGTAAGTTTTCAACAGTATTACACGTATTACTATTATTTGAGTTTACCGCTGAAATACGATGACACTTACAGACGTTTACTGTATTCACTTTATCATAATTTGGACTTTTACTTTGATTCGATAAGTATATCGCAAGAAGTTTACCGGGCAGCTGTTCGAGATAGAAAGAAAATTGACTGGCAGTGCGCGGTGTGTTCGCATCCGGACTTCCATATACGCCGATCCTTCAACCTACCTGGAATCGGGAGCTCCAGAGCTTACCTTCGTTGACCCTGAAGAATCCCAGCCTGATTCGGAGAGCACCCGAATTGACAGTCCCGAAGAATCCCAGCCTGATGCGGAGAACCAGTACAGCACTGATCACGAAGAATCCTCCCTTCATGACCCCACCCCTGCTGAGACGTCGTCTTCATTCGCCGTGACGTACGAGATCGTGGAGAGCAGCTCCAAAAGAGGCCGGCCGAAGCTGATAGACAGCCAGGGGTACAGCTACACCCTACAGAGAAGGCGAGGCTTAGTCACTGACTGGCAGTGTTCCATCCATCGCAAAGTCAACCCATGTAGGGACACACTTAGACAGCGCGGCGACCAGTTCCAGTGCGGCAACCAAGTGCACAACCACCAGGCTCAAGTGGGGGTATTCAAGGCGGCCAAAATCGCCGCGCAGGTAGAAGCCAAGGCAGTAGAGGACATCTTGGGCTGAATCGCCGCGTGCTTAGAAAGTCCCGGCTTCCTGTACTTTTGGATCCGCCTTCTTCACCGCGGGGCCCGTCGGGCATCCCTTAAGGCCAGGCTCAGTTGTTTCTGAGAAGTAGTTACGGTGCATCCAGGAAAAAAAGTTCCGAGACCTCCAGACCAAGATCTTCAACCTCTGGGATTAGTTCAATTCTGGTGCCCGCTGTGCAAGAAAACTACTGAGGGCGTGTTCCTACCTCAACGGCCCAGTAGCTTGATAAAACAGCTCTTTTAGGAGCCGCCGCGCCTCACGTTCGTCGTTTTACGCTACCTTGACCTTTCTAGCTTATATTTGTATTTCAACTGATTAGCTTTCTCTTTGACCTGTTATAAACTCCCTTGTGTGACTGGCTCAGTTAAATGAGCAAATAAAAATAAATAATAAATAATAGCAGTGATGATTATCACTACTATTAATAATTATTTATTTGCTCATTTATTTATTTATTTCATTGTTGCGCGTGTGTGCGTGCGTGTGTGTGTGTGTGTGTGTGTGTGTGTATGTGTCAGAGCCTAGACAGTGTCTGTTTAGGTAGCCCGCCTAGAATAGCTTTGCTAACTGCGGGCTACAAAAGCCTTTATTTCTTTCATTTTAAAAAATAAAGTCAATGTTGTTGTTGTCGTTGTTGTTTTGAACGATTTTAGGTCTTTAAAAACTGCTCATTTAGGAGCCACCACATATGCGAAAGTCATGACCAACGTAAATGTACTTAAGTAATTGAAATAAATATTCAATAAAGTTTGTTCTTTTTGGCCGCCCGGAAACTGAGTAATACAACTCGGTCGATCGAGTCGCGGGAAACAGGATTGCAACTACGTCGATCGATCGAGTCGCTTAATTAATCGAGTCGAATTTTTAGCTAATTTGTTGAATAGAAAACAACAAATCACGACACATATCAAAGACGAAAACTAGCGCACTTATACTGAACTTTTCTCGAGTTTACTTCTGTATCGAAACGACACGAAACGACTTCAGTTTGTGTTGAATCGACCGTACATGTGTAACGAATCGATTTCGACTTGTATCGAAATGACTTTGTATCGAAAAGACCGTGAACCCCTGATTATGACAACCCTTCTGTGTCCACTGCAAGCAGACCCCACGGCCAGCTTCCCAAACCAGCCAATTTGTGACAGAACATATTCCAGTTCAGGAAGAGCATAGGAGAAACTTTGTGGTCGGTTACAAGGAAGGTAGGGGTCAGGTACAGGTGCAAACCTATTGCAGTGCAAACCTATTGCAGTGCAAACCTATTGCAGTGCAACACAGTGTGAGGGAAAGTATATGAATTTTGCTAAGCAGAGGAACTGCTTTGTAGTATTTCATAGTGTAGAGTATCACCTTCCCAATTCTTGAAATTTGATTTCCTGGTTGCTCTGAAACCCTCGGTGGGTTCATGTTGTGTTATACATGTACATAGGGAAACAAAATACGAGAAAATAGGGGAAATAAATATTTTTGTCATGGGATTGCCGATACTTTTAATGTTGTGATAAATGCCTTTTATGGCTCAGCTGTGGGGTCTGCCTAGAAGTGGCAGGGGTAAGAAGAGGTTGCCCCACACTATTTTTGTTACCAGCACTTTCTTGAAGGTAAATGCACACCACTCAAGCTATATCAAAGAAAAAAAATTTCCATTTTATTCACTTCAATAGGTGTTCACAAAATGTGTTTAACAAATCTCAGATTTTTTATTTTTCAACCAATTTTTATGGAGATGTTGCCCATGTAACAAGAAAACTTTTTAGTTAACTTTTGCCTCATTACTTTATATCACCTGGGTATCACTTGATTGACAGTTCAAATTTTGATGATATTGTATGCTAATTCATGCTAATTTGAAGGCATTTATTAAGGTTGTAGAAGACCATCCAGTTACCAGTCAGGCACTTCGATCCCTCCAAGTTCTTCTAACTCGTCGGCAGGTTAGCGCCTAGTGCGTAGAGATTTCGGTAACTTTCGTAGTTTAGGTCCCCGTCTCAAGATGCGTATCATATTTATTTCTACTTCGGTTTGGATCTTTGACCGCATCTTTACTAGCTTTTTTTTGGCTTCGGATATGTGGCGTTCGCCACACAGGCGATATACTCCCAGTATTCTCCGTGATTTGCAGTATCTAGTGGTCATTTTGCGCATTTAAGTTAGAGCAAAATTTTACTTCACACTTAATTTATTCAGATTATTCATTGACAAGCCACCTTGATCTTCAACGTACATACACAATCATAACCTCAGCACCTCCAACGTCAGCTTGAGAAATGAAAATAAAAAATATTCACAGGTCAATAATACATAGTGAGTTATTTATTGAGATCTCAATGAATATACGCTTGCCGTAATACTAATCCATTTTCAAAGATAGAGGGAGAAGAAGACAAATAAAAAGCCGATAAAAGTCGCCTTTCCCAAGTCAAACCAGTTTTTTAGCACCGGACTTGTAATCATCGTCTACAGAGATTGTAAAATTATATCCTTTTTCTCCTCTCAATTTCCAACCGAGTTTTGCTTAGTATTTAACAATTACAATTAAATTCTGACAACCAGAAGAAAAAAGAGTAAAAAGGGCGTTCTCAAATGTCATTGCTGAACACCCGATTTATGGAGAAGTAAAGGAAATGGCCAAGTAATCAGAGAAAGAGTCTTCTGGATCAGTTCAACGCTCGGCAAGGTTTTTCCTAGGAATCTTAAAACAATTTCTACCTTGGGTATCATTCCATGTGATTTTGTGAGTTTTCTTGCTGTACAGAATTGCCGGTACAGGGTGAAATCTCTCCCAAGTACAATCAGATCCCCCGATCATAAACCATCCAATATCGTTAGCACATCCTGCGTAGGAAGCTGTAATTTCAAAGCTGCGTGCCCCGTAATGGCCATTGATGCGAAAGGGTGCTATAGCTGTCACGTTCTTTAGATCAGTCCATGGTGATTGAAGTAGATTATTCTGTGAAAACCAGTTCATATAAGTCGTCCCTCTGGCATTGAAAGTCATAGACATAACTTCTGCTCCATTCGTGTAAAGCACTACACGAACCTAAAGTCATACAAGAGAATTGTCTGTTATCTACATATTAATACACGCGTACATGCGTATATAGAATCGTTAAATCGGAGAATTGGAACTTCATAGACTTAAATTCTGCTCCCTTTGTGTAAACACGAACCTAACGTCACACAACAAAATCGTCTCTTATCTACTTATTATTATAACATAACCAAAGTAAAGCGCGCGCTCCGATTGGTCAATTTAGCGTCCCCCATTGTCTCTTATCTACTTATTAATACATGCGGTGCATAGAGAATCGGAGAATTTGAGGAATTGTTTTTCAAATTCTTATTGCCTCTCCCAAACATATTTTGAAGAATTCTGACATTTTATGAATTCTTTGTATAACACATGACATGACCATGTAAACTTCAGGAAGCAAAGTTTTGAACTGGAAGTTATTATGTCGCCTTGGTTCTGGTATAATTCTGCCGTGGTTACCACTACCCCTGGTTCTAACCATCCCTAAAGCATTAAAGCTCCCTCAGCCTAACACATTGGCTACTTCCTAAAAAACTTAACTAACTTTTTTTTGTCCAGGTCATTTCTAAGGAAGTGTGTTAACATTGCATGAGTACTTTGTAAAAGGAGTCTCATTTAGCCTAACCCTTTGTGATGTGTTTGTCCTAACCCCCTGTGACGTAAATATTTTACGGACTTACCTCTTGAGGGTTAAAAGCTTGCCAACTTTGTACGAGACGGTTTTTGTAGTGACCTTGATAGGTTGCAGTGGTATCTAAAGCAGCGGTAATATTTTCTGATAATGTGTCGGATGAACCCCATAACGCTTTACCAGTCGGTGAAGAAGACATTCCTCCAATGTATTTGAATATCATCGTCCAACCTTGAAGTAAAAAGAAAAAGAAAAACTCTCAGAAATAGTCCAGGGTCATGAAATCGTTTGCTTCTTCTGCAAAACTCCAGAAACAGTTTTCCTAATTGACTCCATTTCTGACGCTAAAAGAACAAAGATAAATGAATGAGACATTGACCTTCATTTTAAAGTTTAATGCCAAGGGCCATCCCAGTGACCCTTATTCGATGATCTCATTAAGATGATGGCTTTTACGGTTGACGTTCAAAATTTTTTTGCCAAATGGTTTCTGGTTAATAATATTTTCAATGAGGTCGCCAGAAAAATATTCAAGATTCATTGTTTTTGTACGACTAACGGCTTAAATTAGTCAAAATTTACGCCAAACGGCTGAATTTTTTGGCCGTTTTACGTCGACTGGTTAACCCCATTCAAACCCTTTCAGGATTCAGTTTGACTTACCACCTCCGTCACTTGTCTGATCGCAGTACACTGGGAATGGGTCTGATCCATGATTAGAAATTTTGTACACTCCCGTTTTCTTTGGGGCTTGAGAACAGTTTTGAGGCAGAACGACTAAAAAAATGAAAAGTAAAAAGGATGCTTGTAAGAATTCTTACACACGATGCAGGGATCTGCAGGTCGCTCTGCTGTACTAGTCTCATCCCTGTTAATAGGTCAATCACATGACTTTTGGAGGGCATATAGTTTACTGGTGGCCCGAGTAGCGGAGCGAGAGCGCAAATGATGCTAAGAGGGACACAAATAAACTATGTGCCCGGCACAAGTCACGTGATTATCATTATTATCAATACACAAGGCCAAGTTGTACAAATTAATTTAATAAGAAAACATATTTAGTCACTATCACCGCTCTCGATTATCCGGCGGCGTTTACGGGTTGATGGCGATGGTTCTTCATGCTTTCCGTGATAAATGTTCATTGTTCCAACCTCAGTATGTTAGGAGAAATTTTGGTACGGCTGTGCCAAGGAAATAAAATGGTTCTAGAGAAGAGACCGTGGGTTCAAGTTTTAGGGGGCGGAAAATGCCATTTACAGCCCGTACTTTGCCGTTTGGTCCGTGAAAAGGAGAGTTTTAAAGAGGGCAGTTTGTCCTTTGGCCGCATGTAGTAATGATAATGAGCTTTCTCATTCAATAAATCGGAAATGAAAAGAGTGCCTTTTGTGGCAATCGAGATGTAAATGTATTTTCATCACTTTCGAATACTATTTATGTGAGTGATAGACTTGTTTATCACAATTAAATACCACGGCGGAAATTCCACGCCACGCCCAGCAGGAATAAGCGAACAGTTGCCATATTGGTAAGCATTCCCTTCGCGATTAGAAATTGGTAGGTCCGCTAATGCACGAATTGTCCTACGTGCGCCTAGAAGCAAGCCAAAATTATAAAAAATTTCATTGTCCATGTGGGTTGCCGCAAATGCGAGAATAATGCACAGGTTGTCCAACACCGGAAAGTTTTCAAGCCCGGCTCAGATTGTTGATTATCTGTCATACACGGTAAAAGTAGCGGAACTGCTAGCGTCTCTCACCTTTGCCTCTGTTGTAATATACGACAACGAATATCGTAAACTTCAGCACCAGTATATGGATTTCGCTGGGGCAGCGATTCGCAACATCTTCATACGCGGTTTTTTTTTAAACGTCGCGCATTGTACTAATTTAACCAAACCCTAGCTGAGCCTTATGCCTCGCTGCCTTGGCCTCGATGCCGCTTTCAGCGCGTATGCCTAGTGGCGAATTGTGTTTTCATCAATTTCGAATACTATTTATGTAAAGCTTGAAAATATAATCACGATAAGATGGCACAAATGTCTTCCTCACTACAAGTCCTCAAATAGTGGCTTTGGAGCAAAACTTACAATATTCAGATCGAGTTCTCTCGTTACAGTGGGACGACTTTTGAATGAACACCAATATGCAAACATAGTTAGTAGAGGGGATTTGTTAGGAAACGCGGCAAACTTCAGTCGGATAGGTTATTGATCGATTTTATCGAGGTCACGTGACGATGACCCTGCACACATAAATCTAAAATGGCGCGATGCGCTTGTTTCGACAGTCACGTAGCGTTTAAGTTTTTGGATTTTCTCCGCGATCGAGCGACATCTTACCTTTAGTCCCCTCTACTAACTATGATGCCAAGAGGTTAATAATCATCCAAGCCGCAAAACGGTTCGTAGGCCAAAGAAAACCAAATGTGAAAATTGATGAAAAAAAAATTACTTGCTTAGAAGTCGGAAGCAAGTTTTTCGTTATATACACAAGCAACATGTTTACACATGCAATCAATTACTTGATAAAATTAAACTCCCGTAGAGGCCGCTCAACCCAGTAAGCCCTCGGAAAATCTTTCGATGCTTTACAGTCGGGCAGTGTGAAACTTACATAAAATTTAACAATTTAAACTTACTTGTTGCTTCACAAAGTTCTCCAGCATAACCTGTCTTACAGATGCACTCGAATATCTCTAGTTTGTGATTCGCTAGAACACAAGTTCCTCCGTTTTGGCATGGCTTGGAAATACAAGGGGACTTCAAAGGAAAAAAAAAGCATCACTTATTGTCGTTATTTTGAAGTGATTTAGAGTTGAAATGCTGTTTGATGATAGCAACAAATTCTTACCGCAAAGTAATAGTGATGCGAAGTTTTGTTTCCTTTGTATTCTTCGGGGTCGTTGAACTTGTTAGATGACAACAACGTACACCACTTGTTGCCATCGGCGGCCAGGTTCACAGAAATGCACAAAGGATGGTGGAGACATTTTAAGACACATTCAAAGTCGTCGTATGGTGTGATCATGTCAATCTGGGGTACATTTAGATAATGGAACATGTCCACTGTAAGCAGATTCTGAGTGGAATTTTGCCGATATTCGGAATCCAAATCATTACGAGTTTCTGTCGGTTGAAAATAGTTACTACAGTTTAGAATATATTTATTAGTAATTATCTTGAGAATATCTTGATCGCTGTGAAGTGGACACTTTGAAAGTGAGTAACTAACATTTTTGGATTGATTCCTTCCTTTTTAACCGAAAGATGGATGAAATTGGTGTTGTTTCTATCAAATTATAAATAATATAAAAGTTTACAAACACTATTCATCCAGTTTTTATCTATACTTTGAAAAAAAAGGCCAAAAAAAATTGCACGCGATGTTTAATAAGAAACCAACATAAACCTAGTGCAGTGTACCACAATGTGAGGAAAAATATATGCATGTTACTTAGCATGTATTTCACAGTGTAGAGTCACTTCCCAATCCTTAGCTTGAGCCTTGATTTCTTGGTTGCTCTGAAACCCTAGGTGGGTTCATTTTGTGTTATACATGTACATAGGAAAACAAAATAGGAGAAAATAGGGGAAAAATTGTTGTGTCATGTGATTGCCTATGCTTTGAATATTGTGATGAATGCCTTTTATCATTCAGCTGTGGGTGGCCTGCTTAGAGGTGGCAGGGGAT